AGGGACTGGCATGTACATGTACATCTACACGTACAATCTACTCTTGAAAACAATACTTAATTCTAATGATACTTTCTCTTGTTGTTGCCCCAGCTACTTGCCTGTTTGTGCAGGTTGCTTAGTGTTCAAGAAGGAGCTGTTTGGTCAGAATCATCAACAATGACAACTTTCAATGGATTACTGAGCTTTGTGGTACATAGTAAACCGAAGGTATGCTTGGTGGGAATTTTAATTCTCCATTGTTAAAAAATTTTCTTGTGATACAGGAACTCACTGTGAATTGACTGATCATTGGATTAGAGCCACACATGTATGTATGTGTAGTGGTCTCTGGAATGATAAAATTCATGTACATGTATAGCTGTATGTGTGCAGGTTGTCTGCTTGCCATCTCCCTTTTCTCTGTTTCCATTACAGGTTCGCAAAGCAGCACAAGAAGCTGTAACGCTGCTGTTAAAGAAACCACCAGGTGACATGCAACATCATCCAGCATCAGCAACAACGGCTAAGTTCTGTGTTCAGCAAATTGAAGAACATGGAGGTAAGGGGCCAGGTCTCAGTGATCCCCAGAGATCCAGGGGCAGATATTCTGGGCAGGAGGAAGTCAATGGGTCAAAGTGGTACAAACCAAAGTTTACAAGAATGAACAACTGATCTTGTAAAGTTTTGTTTGCACCACTTTTTTCCTCCCGACCTGACTATCTGCCCTGTGCCCTGGGTCTCCGAGAATGAGGGGATCTGATTGAATAATATTCCTGATTGAGTGGTATATGTATTTTATTAGCCATACACTGACTTTTCTTTAGTGCATATTAGTGCATATTTTCTTTAGTGCATATGAACATGATGTCTCCAGATGTTGTTTGCTTGATTTCTTTTATTTATTATTTTTCAAGGATCGTCACAAGGTGCAACTACAACTCTCCATGTCATAGGTGTTCTAAAGGAAATACTCCCTTCTCTTCCTGGACAGGTTTGTGTTACGTGTGTGCATGTATACATGTATGTATCCTATTTTTACTTGAATGAGTGATGTTCATGTACATTTACATGTATTTAATTTCCTAACTCTACAAAATGTTATTCTTGATTGATGATATTGTTAAGTTACATGTGGAATGCAATTGAATCAATAATTGTATCAGTTCCATGGAGGTATTTTTTTACGAATTATCTTCACAAATTTTTTACTGTTTAAAAGATACTAAGTAAACCATTAAACTGGGGTTTCATTAATGTTTTCAGCAGTAGGGCAATTGGTTTTCACAGGTTGGGCAAAACCTTTTTAAACTGAACTTTGTGATAAAAAAATATTCCCTAGTACATGGTTAATCCAGGCAGGCAAAATCATCCTCTAACAGCCAGTTACTGTAATTTGTCCAGTACCCAGCCATTTATGAAACCCATACATCAAGTATACAATTGCTGATTCTTTTCATAGAATGTGAAGGCGGTTTGTGAGTGCCTTTTAAAGCTGATGACGTTAGGAAATGTGGTATGTCTTAACTGCAGTATTGTGTGAAAATTAAGCCTCATGTACCAGGTGGATTAACTATTGTACCTTCAAGGAACTTTAGTTAACAAACTACTGTATGTTACAGAGTTGTTTAAG